ATGAATCTGTGCTAAAATGCTATGCTAAAAAAACATAAGAGTTGGGGAAAAAAAAGGTGCAACAAACCCCACGTTACTGATTCCAATGAAAGTGCAAGCAGAGAAACTGCAGAATCAGACCTACATACACAACTATATGCAATACCGGTTTAACAGAACTGTAATTGGAAAATAGCCATCATTCTTCTACTATCTGTTCAACAGTGCTGGTGTTTCCAGTGAGGGAGATGTCCATTTCTAGCTTTGTCACTGTCTATGTGCTCAAATAAAGAGGTACAGATGACCCCACTTTTGCTTGCCTGCGGGACTCTTTCAAAGAGGTTGAAGGACAAGACCTCCTTCATTGTAAACTCCTGTGACTAATTTAAATCACCTTCCAACCATCTTGAGATCCTTTTGCTGCCAAATGTATCTATTATACTTAATATATGGCCTTATTATCACATTGGCTAAGCGCTTCTTAGGGAAGAGCCATTAGTCCTATACACAGATGGAGAAAGGCCAGATCCAGATCCCCCTAGGCTCAGTCATAGCATTTACTTGGGTAAACAAAGTGACAAAGCAGAGAACTGAACCTGTTCCTGTCTAACGCCCGTTGCCCTAAACCATCCTTTCTTTACAATGAGCATTTCATGTTCTCTGTTCTCCTGTAATAAACAGCCCGATTTATTCTCAGCTTCTCCTTTGATTATCAACTTTGAAAACTAAATTAGAAGTCAGGCATCTGACTTACTCTTTTTCATAATGAAGGATAGCTGTAAAAATCTTTCTATTACACAGTAGGTTTTTGCTATCAGACATTCATTAAATTCTTGGATTCCCATCTGTTCTTTCCAGATGATGTTGGATAACTTGGCTACATGTAGTGACTCTGTACACCTCAAGGAAGCAGTAAATCTTCATTTTCTTTCCTTTCAGTAAAAACTCAACATTTTGCAAGCTGCAAAGCTGCATATTAAAACTACTGTCCACTGACTTTCGTATTTTCTGAGGCAACATCTGGCATAAACACTGATTCCAAATATGATCAGTTAGGAAGATTTCCTGCCAACAGTCTTCCAGCTGGCTTTATTCTCAGGTATCAGCGCAAAAGAAAAGAAATTTCTATTTGACGCTGTCTTCAGTTGCAATCTTTCACTGTTGAGGTAGAGTGGTTTCCCTTCCCTGAGAGGTCCGGGTGACATGAGAGGTGACAGAACCCCAGTTACGCTGGGACTGGTGCAGCCTCCAGAGTTCAGGACGGATGGGATGTGATGTCCAAAGAACTAGGGAGTCCAGTTCTTGCGCCAGATGAAGAGCAGAGTTTATCCCCTCCAAAGTCTAAACACACAGGTACAGATGTAATTTTCAGGAAACAAATGCATCCATTAAATGGAGTTTAAACTCATTTAAAATGGATGATTTAACAGGGCTTTTGAAATGAATTGAACCTGTTTCCCCCCATCTCCTTGCTAATGGTTCGCTCTGCCACTCATATTCCAAACTTACCCAACACCTACAACTCGTTGAAAACTCATCTGCTTCATGATCCTCCAGCAGCCAGCATTATGATATGCCAATCCCAGCAACAGTCTTTGGGAATTTAAATGGAATCCTATCCTTATGGGTAGCAGGCTCCACTTCCAAACATTAGTCTATAATTAAGCAGAATTATTCATAATGGCATTTCCCCCTAAATGTTGTTTCGACTGTATCACTGCAGAGCTGGTAGCTCAGGACGTTGTTAGACAGTGTTAAGCTGCCAGAGCCACTCTGGGTGACCACATAGCCGGGTCTAATATGGGCACATGACGTGACTCTGCTGGCGTGTGGTCACTCCGCCTACGGGTGCGTGGTGTTTTTCTTTCAATTCTCCTGAATTCAGGAGGCAGACATCACGGGAGTTATGCTTCTTTGCCTTTCTCCTCAGGCAGTAATTTACACCAATGTAGATTGAGTGCAAAGCTCTCATATACCTCTTCTACATTCCCCACACATTGCTATACGCTAACAAAGCAAGGAAGGGCCCAGCTCCCTTCTGCTAACCCCGTATCACACTCCTGGCTGCACTGCACTCCCAGATGAGAGCAGCGGTGAACAGCTACTCACTTCCTTCTGCCTATGCCTCCCTGCCACAATAACCATTGTGCCAGAACGATTACGGTCTAGGAATTCAAAAGTAGCTCATATTTAGATTGGAACATCAAATTCTTTACCCCCAAAAATTACATTTCAGTGTGGCTTCTGATAGAGAAAAGGAGGGATGGGAGATTGTTGCAATTCTCCCGCAAATATTAGTGCAGTATACCTAACTGATAATATCCACACCATGGTCAAGTTAGGAATGATACAGAAAGAGTTCCTTACTATTCTGTTGATAAACTATTCTGCCTAAAACTAAAATAGTTTAAAATCTCTAAATCTTAATCTTTTTTTCCAGTTTATTCCATTTGATTACACTTTGCATTTTATGCATCCTGAAGAGTGTCACCAGCAATATCCCTTTTTTCCCCTCTGCTCTTCAACAGTCCCGTTGTGATCTCCAGGCTGCACCAGAATAAGTAGTGCAACTTGAAAGCTGAAAGCGGTATGGAACATCACTCATTTGCTCAAAACCAACAGTTTCAATTAAATGAATGGAACTTAATTACATTTCAGCTTGAACTTGAAAATGTAACCTGAGTTAGCATGTGATATTCTTACGAAGTTTACATTCAATAGCACTTGTTTATATAGTTTACACAGAAGATTTTGAGTCAACATTTATTGTTACTGCTAATCTTAATAATAATGGGAGGGCGGGGGGAGGAATAGTGGGTGAGGCCCTGATCAGGAATCAGAAACCTGTTGTGCTAGGTGCTGAACACAACTGTCATAAAGCCATTCCCTGCCCAAAACTGGCAGACTATGGCCCTGTCCACATTAAGGACATTTCTGCACAGTGAGATCTGTCCAAGCTGGGCTTTAGTGAGCACTGAAAATAATAAAAAGTGTCTTTATGCTACAGAAAAAAGCTTTCTTTTTCTTTGATGAAGAAAGCAAACCACAGTATTTCTGTATGGACGTGTAGTTCATGGGAAATGTAGTTTGTAATCCTAAATTATAAAGCCTGTAAGGACCGCTCCAACTGTGTGATCTGACCTCTCTATTGCAAACACCATGAGACTTCCTCATACTAATTTCTGGCTGGCACATGTATTTGCTTACCTCATATCTTTAGTCTAAGTTTGCCTTATAAACCTGGGTCCATCCCTATCCCCCATGATTCATCACCTCCAGGGGCTCCATAATGCCCTCATGGCCCCATGAGCTCACCGTAATAAGCCAAGCATGACCAGAAGAACTGATGCACTGAGTGCAAGAGGTTCAGCAGCAGCATCTCTGATTTGGTTTGGGCCAAAATATGGCAATACTCTAATTTCTCCAAGAAATAACTACCAGTAACAGAATATCCCCCAAAGCAAATAAACCCCACTATCACACCTACATCCATTTCCATGGAAATATGCAATGTCAAGCTTTTTTCCTTCATTTTCACAATTTTCTCTGCCATCTGACCACATTTTTCAGCCAACCCTGGTAGCTGCATAGCTTTTACCCAAATACAAAGATTACTGCAGATGTGCTAGACTTGCACAAAGCAAGACAACTAGAGCAGACAACTGTTCAATGCAACTCAAAGAAAGGGTCAGTGCAGCAACAGTAGTGGTACTCCTCAATGAAGGCAGAACCAACGGTCTAGTGAGCCTTTCAGAGAGGAACCAAAAAACCCCTTTTCTTTACTGAGGACCAAATGTTTGCACATACCAGAGTGACCTAATAAGATGAACAGTGGTAAGAACTCACTGTCAGCACAGTTCACGTGAACTGAAGTCGCTGCCATGTCTGGCCTTAAACTCCCACTTTAAATTAGAGAGCAGGCTGTAGTATTTGTAGTGTAAGCCTGTCCCCAGTGGCTGCCACATATTTTGCTTCTGGCAGTAGCTCTCTGCACTGTCTCTCACCATATGTCACTGTCTCCAGCTCACTCCTTGCGCCCTGCTCTCTCCTCTGCTTCCCTGTACTCTGCATCTGCCATCACTGACACCTCCCGGAGCAGGACCTTGGCTTTTGTCAAGTGGTTACACCGACGTTGTGGCGTGTTGGGTTTCAGCTCTTGGCTGCTGGACAAGCCCTGCCTGTGAAGTCACATGGGATTTGTGTTCAGCATTAGCTCAGTGCAGCTGGGCTGCACCATCACTCAGGTGGATGGGCTGCAGACGAAGGATTACAGCATGTGGCAAGGACCTGTCCAGAGGGAAGGGGCCATGGGTGTCATGGGGATCCATATGACCTTAGGCTCAGTGCCTCATTAAAGTTTGAAACTAATACTTAGACCTTGCAGCTGAGAGAGGAGGGCAGCGCTGGAGGCTCTGGTGGGTCCTGGCATGGTATGGGCTGCCTGTGCCTGGGAAGGACATGCCCACCCCTGCCCTGGGGAGGCCATTGCGTGCCTGGCCCCCACAGGCAGGCAGAAGGAGAAGGACCCCATGCCTGGGAGCTGCAAGCAGCCTTGCACTCAGGAAGCTATGGCAGAGAGTTGCTTATGCTCTTCTCCCCATGGCTGTCTCCTTCCCCCTAACCTCCAGTACTCCGAGCAGGAGCAAGAGTACCGCGGGCTAAAGCCAGAAGAGGTCTGAATAGGAGAAAGTAGGATGAGAGCTGGAGTAGCTGCACAAGAGCCTGGGGTCCTCCCAGCACCACTGTAAACACCACATGAGAAAGAGAGTAGAAATTACAAACTATGGAAAACAAAAGGCATTTACCAAGGAGGAAATAATCCCTCAGCTGATATTCCCAGGGTGGAGGGGGAACAGTCCTGGTAAGCTCAACAGAACTGGGCACACCTTAGGAGAGTTAGCAAATCAGAACAGCCATGAGGAGACAGGAGAGAGGAGAAAGGCGTTGTACCAGCACCAGGACAGCATACGTGGCTCTCCTGCGCCGTGAGGCAGGGAGGCGGCAGCTCGGCAGTGCCGTGCATGGGGCCCACTGTTCATGCAGCCTACGTCTACTGGGGGAGACCAGCATGCTTGAAGGCACTTAGGAGAGACCTGGTACGGGTTGTGCAGCTACAGGGAATTGATTTATAATGATGATACGTTTTGCTTGGCTCTGAGGAGGTATGGAAACAGTTCACAAACATTTGTAAGGCATAAAGCCAAGCGGGAGGGAGGTATTTAGCAAAAAAGGGGGAGAACTTATTAGAGAAGATAACACTGAGAGGAAAAACTGAAGCTGAACGTAACTAATAATGTTTTACCAATGAAGTCTAGTAGATTGTGAAATAGCTCTCCTGAGAAGAGTAGGGAAAAACCCAGGTATGGGCAGTTTTAAAGCTGGATTGGAAACAATTATGTGCAATGAAGAGCAAGCAGATGAATTTGTTGCCACGACACAAATATTTCCACCACCATAACCAGTAACTCTGATTCTCCACTGGCCTGCCTGTCATGCTATCGCTGACAGCAATGCAAGGTCTTGCACTGCAAATTGTTTATCAAAGCGGGAGCGTAACCTTAGAGCACTGCTCTGCCTGAGTGTGTACATTACCAGACAAGGTATATGCCAACAGAGAGCTAGGCTGTATGATCATGTGTAGGAAAGTGGCTCACTGATGGAAATGATCCTCTTCAGCTCCTCCAGAGACCTCCTCCCCTGCCCCCACCCCAAATCTCCTTTAGTCTTTTGAAAAAAATAGGGATACGAGTCTGTGTGTGTTAATGGCGCCTAAAAACACATCCATCTCCTTCAAAAATCTCTCGGTAAATCCCCTTCCAATTGCAATCGGGAGACCACTTTGGCAGTCTTAAAGATCCACAAGGAGACCTGGAAGATCAAGGTCCACATACAGCCCCAGTGCAGGCTGAAACAGCAACTTTCCAAAAGGCCACAGAAGCCCACACCTGACCTGGCACACATATTTACTGCCTTCACATTTTCCATGAGGCAGGAACACGGTCATGGCGCGCCAGCTACGGCGCTGCGGCAGCACTGATCGTGGTTAGCGCTATCAGCTGGTGAGCTGGGCCCTTCCGACAGCAGAAGGCTGTTGCCTGGCCTGAGGGTTTGTCGTATACATAATCACCAAGCTTTATAAGTCTCCGACAGACTCTGATGACGATGAATGAATGAGATTGGGTAAGTTAATACGTTTTTCCTGGTGGAGTTGGCCCGCTCACTGTGGATGCGTCAGGGCTGTGTGCCTCCTCCAGGGCAGGGGCAAGCTCGGTTCAGAGGCTTTGCCCAGATGGTGCGTAGCCACCACGGACCTGCAGCCCTCAGCTTCCCCTTGCCCTCTCCAGGCTAGTATGGTGTCCTTCTGTGCCTCTCTATCCTTGTCCTGGGGCCAGCTTGGCAGTCCTGCGACAAGTGCCATGTCCTTATTAAAAGGAAGCAGATTAGACTGTGTCTGTAGCGGTTACATGACAAATTGCTGAAGAACATTGAAGTTGTAACATACTGGCTGACGTGACTTTGCCATCGTCCTCTGCCTGGCAAAAGGAGAGTTGCTGCGCTATGGGGCATGGACGCTCTGGAGCTCCACAACCAGACCCGATCCCGTACGGCTGAACGGCGCTGCTAGAGCCAGGGACACCTCAGCCCCAGTGCCCGCCATCCCTGCAGAAACAGAGGCTCTGCCAAACTGACTGCAACCAGTTCGTTCCAAGTGGGTACCTAAGGAGATGCACAATATTCCCTATAACATTACTCTAGCTCCCTCCTTCCCAGTCCTGCCACATCCCTATAGCAAGCGATACCTTGCATTAGCACTGAAGGGAAGAGGGGCACACGGCTAGAAAGGGCTTTTGCTGGACCCTGGGAGCTGGGCCTTTCCTTGTCAGCTCCAGCGCTGTTTCCCTGGGTGGCCCAAGGCAGGCACCTACTCTCCCTGTGGCTCTGTTTGCCATCTGTAAAACCGGTTTGGCATCACTCCCCACCTCCTACACACCTTTTATCCTTGCTTATATTAACTTAAAATACTGGCGAGCTTGCTTGTGTGGAGGCACAGTGCAAAACAGAGGGCACAATCCTGGAAGTGCCATTGTTTTACAGGGAAGGCCTACAGGAAAGGCAAAGGGTGTGGAGATGATGAGGGACACGTGCATGGAAGGACATGTGCATGGAGGGATGTGGGCATGGAAGGACACCTGCATGGGGAGGGTGCGTGCCTGGAATGTACATGTATGGAGGGATGCATGTATGCAAAGACATGCACAGAGGGATGCATTCATTGAAGGACATGCACAGAAGGACGCATACACAGAGCGATGCATGCGTGGAAGGGCACACACCTACAGAGGTGCATGTATGGAAGGGCACATGCATGGAAGAACACGCACACATGGAAGGACATGCACAGAGGGATGCATGCGTGCAAGGAGACATGCTTGGAGGGAGCCATGCACGGAAGGAGGCACGCGCAGAAGGGCACACGCGTGGCAAGACACACGCGCGGGGGCAGCACCGCGACCACATTTGCCGCCCGCCTGGGCTGGCCCTGCAGCACGG